AGAAGGCCAATGTGGTGCCTATCTTCAAGAAAGGGAGGAAAGTGGATCCAGCTAACTATAGGCCCATCAGCCTGACCTCTGTCCCAGGCAAGATCTTAGAAAAGCTGATTAAAGAGGCCATCCTTAAATGGACTGGCCGACGCCAACATCCTAAGGAATAGCCAGCACAGGTTTCTTGCGGGTAGGTCTTGCTTGACCAATCTCATTTCCTTCTATGACCAGGTGACCTATCACCTGGACAAGGGAGAAGAGATTGACGTCATATATCTTGACTCCAAAAAAGCCTTCAATCTGGTATCCCATGATCACCTCTTGGCAAAACTGGCCAATTGTGGCCTTGGGTCCACCACGATCCACTGGCTGGGGAATTGGCTCCGTGGTCAGACCCAGAGGGTAGTAATAAATGGCAGTCACTCATCATAGTGTTCTGTGACCAGTGGGGTCCCCCAAGGCTCTGTCCTTGGACCCATATTGTTCAACATCTTCGTTAATGATGTGGACACTGGAGTCAGAAGCGGACTGGCCAAGTTAGCCGATGACACCAAACTTTGGGGCAAAGCATCCACACCAGAAGAGAGGAGGGTGATCCAGGCCGACTTGGACAGACTCAGCAAATGGGCAGACAAGAACCTGATGGTGTTTAATGCTGAAAAATGTAAGGTTCTCCACCTTGGGAGGAAAAACCTGCAGCATCCTTATAGGCTCGGCTGTGCTACGCTGGCTAGCGCTACAGAAGAAAGACTTGGGGGTCATCATTGACAAGATGAACATGAGCCTGCAATGTGATGCTGCAGCTACTAAAGCAACCAGAATGCTGGCTTGCATCCATAGATGCTTCTCAAGCAAATCCCGGGATGTCACTCAGCCTTGGTGATACCTGCAACCCTTTTCTTTAAGAAATCAGCTCACCTTATCTAACAAAGGATCGTGGTATTTCCCCACTAGCCTCAAGCAAATCTCTTTCTGTCCCTAACACTGCTCCCGTGACCAGCTCATAAAGATTATGTAAAGTAGCAAATTATTTTGGGCAGCCCTATCTGCCAGCTAGGGAACAATTCAGCATGGTCGTATACATCAATACTGCACATCCTTTAGATCCAGTGCACAATAAACCTGTTATTTTATAACAGCCTGGGGGTTATAAGCCAATAAAGCTGCTGTTTAGTAGTTTTGTCCAACTCATGCAAAAGGCATAAAAATCATTATCTGAACTATCAATTTGAAAGGAATCATTTTTGTTGTACACTGAAATTACGTATTCAAATGGGCAGAGAGCATTCCCAGCACAAGGACTGCACTATGAATGATAATATGGAGATAAATATTTCTGAAGAAAAACTGCCTTGAGAACTCAGATCCAAAACATGGGACCCCCAGAAACGTGGCATTTTCCAGCTGGGTTTCGCTTTGCCATTGAAAGCCACTGCAGCCACACATCAAGCAATGCCCATGTTTCCTTTGCTCAGGATGGATGAGAAAGTTACCTGCAATCTGCACCGAGCCATCTTCTCCAAGAAGAATATTTCCTGCTTTCACATCCCTGCAGGAAAACAAAGCAACAGTCAGTGCTATTTGTTCATCCTCCCTCCTGCCAGCCACAGAAGAATGCATTGATGAGCTTCTACTGTTTTCCCTCTGAAGCACTAGGTTTTACCATGTTGTTTCTTCATCCTTTCAACTATGCAGACACTATATAGATTTAATAGCTATTGTCATAATGTCAGTGTGTGATGCACATTAATGTTTTTATACCCTTTATTGCTAGAAAGGCTTGGGACAGAACATTATACCCCAGACAGCTTTGTGTAAAGGGTTTCCCCCTTCACCACAGAGAGATGCTAATCAGAAAGACTTGTGGTCCCGTACTCAGATTGGGAGTCTACCATCTCTGCTGCACCATTTGCTTATTCCTTTGTGCCATCATTTCCCCATATGCTAGATGGAAATTATACTGCTTCTTCTACGTCGTCTCCCTTGCCTCTTAAAAGCCGAAGCTCCTCTGGGCAAGGACTGTCACGTCAGGTATGGCCATCTAACCAATTAGTGATTGAAACTTGGTGCACTTCAGCTACGCCACAGTCCGTATCCCCACTCTCATCCTGCTGAAAATGGACGCTAAAAATCACAGCAGCTTAGCCCACAATGAAACATAAGCCGCAATACTACGAACTATTTCTCCGCCGCATCCCTAGTCATGACACAGGATTGGAACAGGAGTTCAGGCAAGTAGGAGATGTGTTTGGTCGTCTTGTCCTTTGTGGGATCCATTGGCATTAGGTCCTCTTGACCTTCGAAAAGGTCTGAAAGTGGCTCCAGCCCATACCCAGATAACTTCCATTTGGCCACTCGTAAGTTAGTGCTTACAAGGTTCTTTCAAACACCGGCCTGAGATAGTTGGTTGACCCCGGAAAAAACATGCATCAGAACAAAATTAAACAAAAGAATGCCCAGGATTGCAAATAGGTTTTTAGTAACAGTCAATTGGAGCTGACAGCATCCCTTTAACAAATATATGAACAAGTATTTCAAACCCTACCAGCTCCGAGCCTCTTGCTAGTAGTGCCCATCTTGAGGCATGATGTTGTTCTCAACAGCGCAAGAAGCTGAGCAAAGCAAGGTTCAATTCCAGCCCGCCGTACCCGTCAGGGCTCCAGTACATGCACACAGAAGAATTGCATTTGTAGTAACATTAAGGTCTGCCTTTTGTGCCAAGCCAATTTTATAGCCAAATACAATTTGCACCAGTTATTTAGGCATGTTACATCTGTCACCAGACACCCCCCTCCCCCACCACCAAAAGCTCAGTCCTAAAAAGAGAGTCCATATTCTAAAAGCCACAGATATTCACATGCTCAACACCACAAGAGCTTCAAAAGTATTAAAAGCTCAGAGGAAAAAGAAAAAAAAGGTGTTAAAGCCCATCTTAGCCAATTACCAAAAGGTGAGGATGAGT